AATCTGCCTGCCAATGCAGGAGAGACGAGATGTGGGTTCAGTCCCTGGGCCAGGAAGATCCCTTGGAGGAGGAAAATGGCAACTCACTCCAGTACTCTTGCCTGGAAAATTTCATGGACAGAGGAGCCTGGCAAGCTGTAGTTCCTGGGGTTGCTGAGTCAGACACGACTGAACACACATATGTGCATGCATATTGCTGTATATACATCATTGTAATATCATGCAGGTTATTTTCACTGTCTTAAAAATCTTTGTGCTCTGCCTGTTTACCTCTGCCCTCCCCAGCCACCACCCCCCCCCCCACTCCCAGCAACCATTGGATTTCCTAGAATGTCATATAGATGGAATCATAGTATATAGCCTTCTCAGATTGGCTTATTTCATTTAATAATATTAAGTTTCCTCTATATTGCTACCTAACTTTAGGATTTACTATAAAACTACAGTAATCAAGACAGTGTGGTTTTGGCAAAAGGACAGATAAATAGATCAACAGAGCAGAATAGAAAGCCCAGAAATAAATATTTGACGAAGGAGCAAAGGTAGCATAATAGAGCGAAGATAGTGTCTTCAGCAGATGGTGCTGAGCAACTGGACATTCATAGGCATGAAACTGAATCTAGACACAGACTACTCAGTCTTCACAATAATTAACTCAAAAAGAATCACAGATCTAAACGTAATAGGCTCATATGGTAAAGAATCTATCTGCAATACAGGAGACCCAGGTTCGATCCTTGGGTCGGGAAGATCCCCTGGAGAAGGGAATGGCAGCCCACTCCAGCATTCTTGCCTGAGAATCCCACGGACAGAGGAGCCTGGCCGGCTGCAGTCCCCAGGGTTGCGGTGAGTCAGACGTGACTGAGCACGCTTGCACTAAGAAAGCATTGCCTGTCGTTATGAAGATTTACACGGTTTTGTTCCAGGCTTTAGCTTTAAGTCTTTTCCAGTTTGTATGCAGTGTGACGTCAGGGTTCCGTCTCATTTATTTGCACGTGGATATCCAGTTGGCCCATCATCATTTGTTGAAAGGACTATTCTTTCCCCATTGACTTGTCTTGGTAGCCTTGTTGAAAGTCAGTTGATCATAAATGCAGACATCTGTTTTTTTCCAAAAAGGTGTGAAATTTTTTGAGTTGTTCTTTTCAAGGAAAATAAAGCAGGGTGTTACAGAGAGTAGTTAAATCCTTTGTATTTCAAAATGAGTTCAGGCCTTCTTTCCACTAGGGCCCCTATTCTGCGACACCATGTAAAATTGCATCAGTCTTTTAGTTATGGAATCATCTTCATGTAGCGGGGCTTTTCGTGGATCTTACCTTTATTTAAATTTGTAAACTTGCGGTTTTTTACTATCCAGTTCTCTTTTACTTTGTTCACAAACATTGTAAACTTGTTAGAATTAGTCCTAGTATTGTAGAGATTTAGGTGGTGGTGGTGGTGGTTGTTTTCCTTCACTTGTTTTCAAAGTTTAGCTGGAGGCAGTGGTTAATGTTTAAAGGAGTCATGCTTATAAAGTTGGGATAGTGCTGCGAGGCTGATGGTTTGCTGATTCTAGCTGTAAAATGTGTTTTGGAGAGCAGAAAAACAATTTGCTTTCATTCCAGTACACTCTAATTCTTGAGGTCCACTGGCTTTCTAAAAGCATTGACTCAAAAAGTGAAATGAAGAATTGTGAACTACATTTCCCTTAGTATTCTTTAGTGTTTGGAAAGCAAATATACTTATTAGGATCTGTTGAGGCAAAACTGTTATCAGAATTAAGTTAGATGGTGGCTCAGATGGTAAAGAATCTGCCTGCAATGCAGGAGACGTGGGTTCAATTCCTAGGTTGGGAAGATCCTTTGGAGGAGAGCATGGCAACCCACTCCAGTATTCTTGCCTGGAGAATCCCCATGGACCATGGAGCCTGGTGGGCTACGGTCCCTGGGGTTGCAAAGAATAGGACTTGACTGCGCGACTAAGCACATGTTGACTTTAAAATTCAAGAGATTAGTTGCCTCTAATATAATGCCACAATTCACAGGTATTTATTTCTGGCTTTCATTTGGTTCTTTTTTTACATTACATTTTAAAAGGGGAAATTTTCTTAGAGACCATGTTTATGCTCTTTTCTCCAGCTCTGAAAGTGTATGTGGAATGTGTATATTTGTTGTTTAGTCACTAAGTTGTGACCAACTCTTTAGCAGCCCCGCAGACTGTAGCCTGCCAGGCTCCTCTGTCCATGGGACTTTCCAGGCAAGAATATTGGAGTGGGTTGCCATTTTTCTCCTCTAGCAGATCTTCCCAACCCAGGGATCGAACCCATGTCTCTTATATTGGCAGGCAGATAAAGTATGTTTTGGTATGAATTAGATGGGAGTGTAATAATGAAACCTACTGTGTAAATACTGTGTGATATATATGTTAAAGTATGTTGTCTTTATATTATATTGTGTACTAAGTCACTCAGCCATCTCTGAGTCTTTGTAGCCTTTTGGATTGTAGCCCACCAGGCTACTTTGTCCATGGGATTTTTCAGACAAGAATACTGGAGTGGGTTGCCATTTTCCGCTTCCAGGGCATTTTCCTCACCCAGGGATTGAACCAACATTTCCTGTGTCTTCCTGCATTGCAGGTGGGTTGTTTACCCGCTGAGCCAACAGGGAAGTCCTTTTTTCTATGTATATGTCCATAATATTCATTCAGTGATTATAGTAACATCACAGTTACTTAGAAGCAGATTTTTCAGAAATACAAAGTTTTCTAGACACCATCCTTTAAACTCTGAAATACACAGAAAAGATCTCTTTTTAACAATGAGCAGCAAATTAGAAAGCTGGTACCTTGTATTTTTATATGACATATGGACTTTCTCCTAGGATCATATCTTCTTTATAAGTTCCTCATCTTTAAAAATGAAAACTCAGGGAATTCCCTGGCAGTCCAGTGGTTAGGACTTCATACTTTCACTGCTCAGGGCCCAGATGCAATCTCTCACCAGGGAATCGAGATCCCACAGGCTGCTCAATGTAGCAAAAAAAAAAAAAAAAAGAAAAAGAGAAAAGTAAACTCAAAATTGATGGAGTTGAAGGAGCTAAAATGAAAACTAAAGGGTATCAGAAACAACAGTGACTTGTGCTTCTCTAGTGGTTGTGAGAACAACAGCGTTATCTGTTCAGAAATTGCTACTCAAAGGCCTTCCTGAATTCAGGAAAGCATGAATGTACAGTTAAGGAAGATTCTATTAAAAAGTGTCTTTAAAATGAATGCAGAAAGCCTAACCTAACGAGTAGGCAAGCACACTGAAAAATTTTCTTCAGTAGATGACTTTTTTTTTTTTTTGCCTAGGTGCCTTATAAATATTAAGGTGGGTTAATATTTAGGTACATTGTTTAATTTATTCAGCATATTTATTAAGCTATTTGTCAGGTATTATTTTAGGCAGTAGAGATTCAGCTGTGAACAAAAGACACAAACGCTTGATCTTTATCAAGTGGGAGGAAGATAGAAAATAAAGCAGAAAGATAGTATGTTACTGAACATATAAATTCTTTTTATTTTTGACAGTAGAAGTCAAAGTAGTTAATTACTGTTCATGCCTTGATAGGTCTCTTCCTCTCAGGATCAGTTACTAGGCTGACTTTCTGCTGGTAAGATATTTTCAGGTGTTCTGTTCATGCTGTTCCAATTATGCTGTTTTTTCCAATTACGCTCATGTGTTTCATGGAGTTTGGCTGTTTTTCCCTTTTTTTTGGCTGTGGTAAGAAAAGTTACTTTTTTATAAAAGCCTGTCTGTCTCATTATATTAATTTAGATTCCAAATTGAGACCCAAACTATGAAACAGATAACCTCAGTTTGATCTTCTAGTGCCCAACATTGTTGGCACCAGGGACTGTTTTCATGGAAGACAGTTTTTACATTTATTGTGCACTTTATTTCTATTATTATTACATCAACTCTACCTCAGATCATCAGGCATTAGAATCCCGGAGGTTGGGGGCCTTTGCTCTAGTGTACATTTTAGAGAAAAGTATTTGTAAAATATTGATGAGATACTTGTGGAATGATAGACCTAAAATTCTTTAGGGTAGGCTTTTTGTGTCCTTTGATTCTCCAGTCTCCTTTGAGTAGTCCTTTAAAAGCAGTTCTGTGAGACACTGAAATATTGTTTTGTATAGTTGATGATGACGGCATTCTGCCCAGAGACCTTATTGGAATAGTCAGGAGGGGAGATGAGAGCCTCATGGATGACAGATACCACTTACTTGACTGAACTGTGTTATATCTTGTTCAGTGGCGTTCAGGAAGATGGCATTGGCGTTTCCATGGTGTGGGTGTCCACTGTCAGGAATACGGGATTAATTTTTTTTAGGAAGAGAACCACAAAATAATCCTTTCTACCAATTTGTTATTGGCTTGGCTGAAAGCAAGAAAAATGAAGTTGGATGCTTAAAGGAAATGCTCAGGATTGTGTAAATTAGTTCCCCAGCATCTACTAATGCACCCTTTGTGGATTTCTTTTCCCCGTTGCCCCATACCTAAGTTACTCCTTCTACCTCCTTCCTTCCATATTTTTGTCATTTCATTATAGGTGTACATATTCCTTTTCTTTGCCCTTAAATTTGAGAGTCAATTGTATACTTTGTTTCTTCTTCAGATGATTTTGCTAGACTTTTGAAACTGTAGGGTTATGAACTTCACATGGTTCTTCTTGGCTTCTCTCTCTTATTCTAGGAATAACTAAAATGCCCAATTTTTGTGAAAAGCGAATACCAGTTCTTCCCAAATTTGTTTCTTATTGTAACAGAGTCAAAACCCAAAGGAAACTGTAGAGGAGGACAAAAAAGGAACCTCTTTTAGCTATTAAAATAATAGCTAGGTTATGAGAATTTTATGTGAGATTTGGGGGGAAAAAAAAAGAAAAGCACTTGATTTTTCTGTTTTTATGGCATCAAAATATGATGTACCAGCAGAAAAGTTATTAAGAAATTTCTTAATATTGCCCTTTGATAAATTTCAGGCTGCTACCCTTGTCCCGGACCCAACATGAATCCTATTGCTCTTGGGAGTCGCTGGCTTGCTTATGCAGAAAACAAGGTAAGCAGAGCCCATGTTGGAATATTTGTTATGGAGCAGATGTTGAGTTTTCCAAAGGTAATTCACAACCAGTAATGAATGTTTACCTTACTAGTTTGGTTTTGTTTTAATTGGGCGCCGCAAAATCGTCCAATAAGCAGTACGCATGTACTCTTGACTCAGCTTGACCTCTGAACCATTTCAGAGTAAGTTGCATATATCTCAGTGCCTCCAAAATACTTGTTATCAGCCAATTTAATGTTGAAAAACTACTTTTATCGGTTATACTGTCCCTGTTCCAATTTTGTCAATTAACCCTATCTTGTCATTTGTAAAAAACTTCTTTCCTGTGGTGCAGAATCCAATCTAGGAGCAGGTATTGTATTTTGTAGGAGTGTCCCTTTCTTTCTTTGTCTTTTACAGGATTGGTAATTTTGAAGAGTATAATCCTCTACCTTATTCTTTTTATTTTAATAGAATGCTTTTTCTTTTGAGCTTTTTGATGTTTTCTCTTGATTATAACCGGGTTCTGTATTTCTGGCTGGAACAGTGCACGAGGGTTGTTCTGTAATTCCCACAGCATCACATCTGGAGGTACATGATACACATCTGTTCCTTGTTGGTGATGCTAATTTTGTCAGGGTCTTGTCCAATTTCCGTACTGAATAATCACATTTTTTTTCCCTCTGGTAACCAATAGATAATTTGGAAAGAGGAGGGTTATATCCTACTTTTCATCAAAATCTTAGCTTTACCTAATCTTAGCACCCATTGATGATTCTTGCCTTAATCAGTCTTTCCTACGAATATTCCAAGTTAATGCCAGTTCCACTCTCCACCAGTGGGTATTTGGCTCTCTGTTATAATCAAGAACTTCCCCATCTTTTTAAAATCTTACTGTATCTGTATTTTTGATACGGGCTCATGGATTCCTATTTTTTTCAGTGGTTTTAATATTTTTCTGTCTGTAATTATTTTGGTTTTCAGATTGTCCCAGAGTCAATCAACAAGAGCCCCTTTAGTCTGCTTCTTGTGACATTGTGTTGTGGCTTCATCAAAATTAAAAATACTCTCCTTACCTGCTATCATAAGACTGTGTCCAGATGCATCTTGTACTTTCCCTGTCTGAGCCCTGGAACCATTTGATTTTACTGGTTCTTTTTAAATCAGCAGTGGTATTAGATGCTTAAACTTTGTCCAGTGGGCGTGTTCTCTGTGCTGGGGCCTTTTCGCTGCTAGACCCTTCCAGCGGGCAGAGCTCACAGACAGGCGTGTTATAAACCCACACATACTTCTGTATATACACATAAACAGGCAGATATACACAGATGCATATTTGTGCACCCATGTATTTCCACATGTACATAATACATTGTGGACATGAAGAGTTGACATTTCCACAGGATTCTCTCTTTGTCCCCCATTTCCTATTATATGTCCTTTGTTTTGGATAGGAGACCATGGCATCAGCATGTTTTCTTCATCTCTTCAGTTCTGTAATAAAAATAATTGCAGAATTGCTTGCTCACACTGCTACAAAAATCAAACCAACTAAAAAAAGTTCAGGATTTTCTTGCAATTCTCTCTGTTACTTCCTAAGACTGAAGATATAAAATCAAACGCTGTGTTCATAGGCTGTTTGAGTTAGTTTGTCCTTTGTCCGTTTTTTTTTTCTTCCTCCATTGTTGTTACATTGTATTATTCAATTATGTATTGTGTATCAAATAATACATAATGTATAAATAATGTATTATTTGGTAGGTAATTGTGTATGTTTGTTTTTATATTTGTTTTATTTATATGCTTATATATTTTATCATGTGTTTGAGATATATATATATATATATTTCCCTTTCTTTCCTAAAAGATAACATTTTATATGTGTGTGTGTGTGTATAGATATATATGTTCTTTTGTACACTGCTTTTTTCACTCACCAGTATTTCCTAGAATTTGGGCATAGTAAGAGTTTTGCACTATAGAAATTTCTGATTTATCTTTCATTTTGATGTACCTCAGATGCAAATATAATTTTTGCAGTGGGTCTGAGTTTTAAATAGAATTCTGGCTTAGTTATGTTTATGTAGAAATGCTGACTCAGATTTAGTTGAATTGAAGAGGTATGGCCTGTTTTCATTGATGATTTTAATTAGCAGAGACTGGCTAGAGATGGTAGTTTCTAAGATAATGTCTTTCCTTGCACGTCCTGCAGGAGGCAGCAGAGGGATAATTTTCGTAATTCTTCTAGTGTGTATTTGTGAATGAATGAATGAGTGAGTGGGTGAATGAGGGAAATTCTTTTCATTAGCTAAAATGACTGTTTCTTTTCCCATGTGTGGAATAATATTTACCAGTTACCTGTGATTTGGGAAATACCTCACCACTGTTGTCTTAAGGGATTGTTTCTTTTTAATGTCAGAGATGAAGAAAATTTCGATTTTAAAATAAAAGAATAAGAAGTTCATGCATTAATTTTTATCGGGTGCGGTGGTTTTAAATTATCTAAGGCATTTTTTTTTAATATTTTGGGAGAGGAAGATTCTGATTTCTATAGGCTTTTAATAATTCATGTCACAATGTGGAGTTATTCTAATAGTCTGTTGCCATTTTATTAAAAAGTTTTAGGTGTAAAAATATGGCTAATGATTTTTATATTTCCCTTTCTTTTTTTTAAACCTAAATTTAGAAAGTGTAGGGGCAGTGGAGGCTTCAGTCCCGGTTTATTGCTCAACACATGAGAGAATCGTGCATGTGAAACTAGTGATTCATTTTGAAAATTGGCAAGTTAGTTATTTACATTAGACATGAATAAGGACGTGTCTTTTTCATTCCGATGTTAAAACTAGTGAACCCTCTGAAGTGGACAGCTACTATATGTGTCATAGTTGATTTATGCATAATTTGTGCCACTTTGCCACAAACACAATCGAAAATGGAAATATGGCACACTCTTGTCTGTTTTTTAAAGTTTCCTTTTGCTATCTTTATGTAGGAATTAAAAGGACAAAACCTCCAATTTGCTAGCATGTTAAATATTTAATGTTAGGAAGTCATGGCTAAGTCCTTTGATTATGTTTCTAAAATTTATTTGTGGAAAGTCTGCCAGATCTCAAATCCTACCATTTCAGTTTATGAATTCTTAAAGACTATTCATCTTGTAATTAAAAATCGTATTTGAGCATGAAACTGCCTGAGTGGCACCGATAGATTATAAAAAGGGGTAAAAGTGTCTCAGCAGGGCTTTTAGCTGTTTGTCGAAAAAGGGCTCATGCAAACATTCCCACCCATCACCATCATTCTGTCTGGTAAATAAGCTGTATCCTAAGAGCCTGTAGAGTTAAACAGTTTAACAGAATGGTTACTCTTTTTCTCTCTCCAGTTGATTCGATGCCATCAGTCCCGTGGTGGAGCCTGTGGAGACAACATTCAGTCTTACACTGCCACAGTCATTAGTGCTGCTAAAGTGAGTAGCCTGGAGCTTCTGGGAGGTTTGATTACGCGGAGTAATTATCACATTTCTCTCCTGAATTGTATTGAGATTGTCCCTTCCCTTTTCACTCACAAGTGTGGAACAAATTTAGGAAGTAAGTCAGAATTATTTTGTCACCTGAGAATTGGCGCCTAAATGATTAGGTATTTAATCTCTTAAGGTTCCTAAATCACACTTTATTGTCTCTTGTAATGATTTTAAGGTTTGCATTTATCCAGTTTAAAATATTTATGTCTGTTTGCTAGGTCGAAGTCTATAATCTAATTACTTTGGAAAGAAGCTTTGCATATTTTAAGTAGTGACTTCTGGATTCTATTTTTTTGTGTGTGTGTGATTTGCATCATTCTACCCATACTGACATCCCTTTGCATTTTTGAACATTTATGAATCTTCTTGACACAAAAAGAATATTACTCATTAAGAAAACTTGAGTGAAGGCCCTGGTGAATTCAGAGGTTCTTTGATGTCACAGAACTGCCCCCGGGAATGTTTGTCGAGTGAGTTCTTTTTGTGTATGCGCGAGGGTTCATTTTGATGATGGCTCATAAACTTTATGCTGATTATAAGGTATGCTTATAATCACCGTTCTTTTGAATTGTGAAGTATACAACAAAACAGTTCTAATAATAGGGATGACATAGTGAATCTGAATGACAGCATGTAATAGAAAGCACAACTATTCAGAAAAGAACAACAGTTTACAACACACCACAGGGAGGGAATCAAAGGTCACACTGTTTTATGTGAAACAGATACAGAAATACTTCAAGATTGGTCACAAATGCTTCCATGATGGGGTTTGATGAGGGAGCATTACATAGTTTTCAGTCAAAGGAAAATGCTGAATGGCTTTTTGCTTACAGCAGCGTATATTAGATTTCAGAATCTTTGTAGGAATGGCTTACTTTTCTCCACTGCGTATGAAAAAGTTATGATGGTTAGCTCAGTGAAGAGAAATCTGAAACACAGGAAAGGCAACATCAGTGTTATTTAGTTAATTTACAATATACCAATGAGATCTAGTTCTCAAGTATTAAATTTCTTTCTGACTTATCTGTGTCACGCACTTTGGTCAGGATAGCTCACTGTATTGTTATTCTGAATAATTTTTAGTTGTGTGACCAGGGGTAATTTTCCAGCTCTTCTTTGGTATAATTGTGTGTTTGTGTGCCTACTTAAAAGGAAAGTGACCTGCTTCATTCAGTAACTGTTTAGCTGTTTAACTGTTAGCTGAAAATAGACTTACTGGAATGAGGCTAGACTTGATGTGCTTTGAAAAAAAACAAGTCCAAACTCCCTAATTTTCTACACCACAGCATTGTGAACTGTGAGGAACACACTCATGTCTTCTACACTGAAACTCTACGAAATTGTGTTGATGACAGCACCTTAATGGGCCATTAGTCACCAGTGAAATTGGTGTTGATTGCAATTCACTGTTACCTCTGACAAAAGAGAAGTTTCTGCCATTAACTCCTAAATAAAGTGATTAATGTTTAATTTTTGTTTAACTACTTTACCCTGATTTTAGTGCTTATTCATGTTCTTGCTTATACATTTATAAAATGAAGGAAAAATATAGCCATGATGCAAAAGTCACTCGTTTCTTGCTGGTCTCAACATGTCCTGTCATCTGTTGTACCCTACTCTTTTAACTCATGTGCTTAAATGTCATGAAATATTTTAAAAACATTTTTCTTATATTTATGTAATCTTTTTCTGTGCATTAATGGATTCCTGAATTAGATAACATGAATATTTTGAGATTTCTTTGAAAATACTGTCTAGTTGTTTTCCTAAAATGTTATCAGATCTAGAATGATTCTTTGTTTCACATTCAAAGTGTGGATATTTTATATGGGAAAGATTGGAAAGTTGGGATGAGTTTTCCCCCAAATGTAATTTCTTCTAGTAAGTTGCTCAATATTAGAAACTTGTGGGTAAATTAACCTTCTGAGATATAAGCAGTTCCAGTTTTCCATGGTAAGAACATAAACATTACTTTTATTAAGTAGTATAATTTGAAATTTATTATTTTACATTGTTTACATACTGTACTTTGTTGTTTAAGTGGTTATAAAAACTTTACTAAGAAAAAGTAAAACCTCACAAAAAAATATCTTCAAATCTAGAAACTTTCATCAGAGAATTCTAGCTAATGTTTAAGATGAACAATGGGGTAGATAAATAACAAAAGATTTACATTTTAGCACAGGGAACTTTATTGGATATCTTGTAATAACCTATCATGGAAAATAACCTGAAAAATGTGTATAACTAAATCACTTTGCCGTACACCTGAAACTAACACAATATTGTAAATCAACTATACTTCAGTTAAAAAAAAGAATAAACAATGGCAATATTGCAAAGACTCATATAGAGTAAAAAGGTCAGATTTTGCCTAATCTTGTTTCATAATGCAAGGTGTTGAAACTTAACAAGAGTGTTATGAAAAAGGAAAGCTATAGTCCTGTCTTACTCATTAAATCATTAACATAGATATGAAAAATTCTAAATAAACTATTAGCAGAAAAAATTACACAGAGGGGTAATGTGTCACAATTCACTTGGGATAATTCCACAATATAAGACTGGTTTATTACTCAGAATCAGTGAGTCTCATTGCCACATTAACGTAATAAAGGAGAAAATGATATAAATTATCTCCATCTATGTACCAGAAGGGTTTGATGAAATCGAAAATGTGTGTATTGATAAAACATTTTAGTAAATAGTGATAGTCTTTGGTTCTCATGAATTCAGTTTTTGTCAAATTGCCAAACTGTTTAAACACAGTAAACTTGCTCTGTTTCTGATCATTCCATTATCTGGCTCCCTTTTTGTTGTGTTTTGTTGTTTACTGTTTCTCTTAGTTCTCATTTATGATGTCTTGACTCTTTGCTAAAATTTATTTAAAAGATCTTTAGAAAAAGTTCTTAGTTTGAGATGATATCAGAGTTCTTTGATGCTCTCAGGCTTGGATCATCTTTATCCAATTTCATGGATTGAAAGTACTTAAATTATCTAAATAAGGTCACCTGAAATAGCTGCGAGATCCTGATTAGTACAAGTTCACTCTTATTTCTGTTGTGTGTCCCTTGATATTTCAACCTGAAGCATGCAGGGAAAGTAGACCCCATTGGACATGACCACCTAGTTCCTACCACAAGTCTATGAGAAGTACTACTCAATCTCTTAGTTGTTGTCGTTGAGTCACTAAGTCATGTCTGACTCTTTGGACTCCATGGACTGTAGCCCGATAGGCTCCTCTGTCCATGGACTTCTCCTGGTAAGAATACTGGAGTGGGTTACCATGCCTGCCTCCAAGGGATCTTCCCGACCCAAGGATCGAACCTGTGTCTCTTGTGTCTCCTGCATTGCAGGTGGATTCTTTGGTGCTGAGCCACTGGGGAAGCCCATTATTCAGTGCATTTAGGCCTAAATACCAGCTCACGTAGCTGAATTTCCCTGTTCTCTTGGATTCGGACCTGATAATTCATCACTATTTTGTTAAATATTCAGTATCTTCAAGCAGAGTTTAAAAAAAAAACTCTAGTTTTCCTACTTGTTTTCATTGGTAGGATTGATCTAATTTACCTGGCCTATCATATTGAAAATAGAAAATACAGTTTCTTATTATTATTCTTACCATTTCAATAATTTCTAGGTAATATGGTATTTGTTGAGCTGTAACATGAAGAAAATATTTAAAAGCCATGCAGTATGTGCTCCTTAAGATTATACTAAGTCACTTTCTCTGACAAAGTAATCATTGATGTTTTTCTCTCCCTGATGACAACTTCTTAATGTGGCTTCATAGAGGTTACCTCTTTGTTATATAGAAAGATTATTAAACTTTTAATTCTTTTTGATGTCTCATATTACAAATGTAAATATAAATTGTATTAATTGTATATGTGCTTGGATGGTTTTCAAGGAAATAATCTTTTTTCCCCCCCTGTATTTTCAAATAGCACTTAAAATTCATCTTTCCAAATAATTTATTTGACTTTCCTTATAAAGAATATAATAATAATAAATTCTCTGAGGTCATGTTGAAAGAAAAATTTTAATATTGAGATTGTTCAAATTGGATTATTTTGAAACATTTATTAAATCTTGGTCCATATATCCTAGTTACCCTGTAACTGTCCTGTTTGCGTTTTCCTTTTAATGTGTCTTAACCTCACCATGGTGAATTGATTAATAAAATTGATTAATAAAAATGCCTCTGCTTTCTCTGTTATCTGATAACTTCTTAGGACAACTAACAGCTTTTGTGAGAGCAGCACCATTAGTCCTAATGGATAAGGAGGACAACTGATACGGCCTGAGAAAGGTTAAAGATGACTAGTGACCTTTGGCAAATCTCTGTGCAATAGAACAGAATAAGTACCATGCTCATTTGAAGTTTTGGTCACAGTAGATTATCTGACACATACATTATAGTCTTAGGTTCAGCACTTTACAGTCCAGATTAGTTCTGTGAGTATTCTTATAATATTCTTCAGATTGTGAGGATAGTAGTGCTCATTGATACATGTGATTCTAACATGGAAACAAACTTCCCAAGGTAAAGGTCCTTACTAATGTAGAAAGCTTTCAGTACCCCTCTTTTACACCCTAAGACCTTATTTTGAAAGTTAATGAGCTATAAGAGTACTTTCCTGTCACTTACTATACAGATTACAGATTTGAGGCTGTTAAATTTGGGCTTTAGATTTTGGTCCACTAATAAGAAGGTGCCTCCAGTGGCCCTAAGTTTTTTGGGGGGTGAGAAACATCATTAACGCCTCCTGTAATACTTTATTCACCTTTGACTATGAAATGTACTACTCTGTTTTCCCCCTCTTCTGGAGTTTTTTCCCAGTTCTCTTGTATTAACTGTTCCCTTTATCTTGTGGCTTGCTTTGGGTACATTACTTCCCACTTTCTGTGTGCTCCAGTTATTTTAGCTTTATTCCTTTTCATTGGTATAAGAGCATGAAATAATAAGCTCAAGGGCAAATGGGGAGGATATACAATCAAAGACTTTAAACCTGAAAGGCATTCCTTTGATAAAGGGGATAGCTCCGTGGAAGTGGGAGCATCTCCATTAGCATTAATGGAGTGAGGACCTCAGCTGAGGCATCTCAGAGGTTAATCAGGCTTCCTGGCCAGCTTTTGACATCAATACACTGTGGCGCCTGGTTTTGTTGGTCCTTTGGAGGCTTTCTTGACAACACCCTAACAGACTTTGTGTAAGTCATTTCTTGTGAATTATTGAAACAAATGTTTGGCTGCTAATTGAAGAACACTAATGTGTTTTCTAATCACTACAGTTTGAGTTTTTAGCACTAAACAAAACTGTTACAATTGATTTGTGGCTTTTTCTTGGCTTCAGTCAGCTGTAAGTTATATCATTTTGCTTGAATTCTGCAAATGGCTCTGCTGGTCGTTTTATTTAAGTATTTATTAGGAAACACTATGATACTCTTTATTTTTCCTTTTTTCCTTCCCAGTATACAGTTGTGTCCTAAATTCATGAAGTGTCAGATCACAAGTAGTGTCAGGAATAGATTACAGGGCAATACTGGATAGTGGTTTGGAGCAAGTCCTGGTTTTGAGTTCTGGCTTTGTTATTGACTGACTGAACTGCCGTTTTCCTTAACTTCTGTAGGCTCAGTTTTCTCTTCTACAAACCCGAGGTGTTTGAGGAAATCTATCCAGATCTTTTTTGGTTAAAGAGCCTTGACCAATTCCGAGTTCATAATAAAGGTTCCATGGAACATATTAATAGCTACAGTAAAATAATACATATATTTTGTGCTTTTCTTTTTTTTAAGTTCCATCTGATTGTTGCTTAAATTGCATTTAGGCCTTTATAAACAACCTTCTTTGCCTATCATTTATAAATTAATAATTGATATGCTGTGTAAGCAATATACTTTATAAAATTTAGATGTAGCATATGTCAGAATATGGGTCCATAATTATTTTAAAAGAGCAAGTCACATTATTGAGGATTAAAGTATCTTAATAAAGACTTTTCCTCACAATAATGAGGATGTGTCTATTATAGTGTACATAATTTTTGATATGTCCATGTAGACTGGACAGTTTATTTTGGATTTAATGATTAGAGTTCATGTGTGTGAATCACACAGTTTTCTCTTTGTTTTTGCTTTCTTCCCTTTCAGAGAAAACAAAAAAGTCCCATTACTTAACATGATTGTTTGTTAATGGTTAGGAGAATAATCAGATGAAATTCACATAAAAGAAAACATACAGATGAGTTAGTTTTTTTATCTATTTGTTTTGAATGAAATGGAACTAAAATTAATTATGAAACATGTCTTTAATTGAAATAATATATTAGAAATATTGCATTAAATTGTTTTCTGTCTCTAGAGAGAAAAGAACCCTTTTAACTAATATTATGACATTTCATTCATGTAGTAATTGAAGTATCTTAAATGGAGTCTGCATTACCTGCATACCAAATCTTGATATACAGTATTATATAGCATCATGTTATAGATTTAAATGAGAAAGTCATTTTCACGTATGGATTCTATCTGTATCTTAGTCTTTTTTAATGCTTAAAAGTAGACTGAAAATTAGGTGTATACAGTTTTAAAAAATAGAACATCACATAGTTCCTATTTCTTAATATTTCACATATTTTAAGTTACATGAATTGAGGAGAGGGAGAATATAAATATTTTTAATACAAATATAATTGTATTCTCATGTGAAACAAGCTCTGTAATTATTTACCCATGGCCTAATTGTCACCATGCTGACTTGGGGGTACTTACTGATACCATTCACTCAATCTAATACCAATCTTCTAACTAAAATTTAAGATTGTATAAAAAGTCAGACTGAATTTCTGTGACAGTGCACTGCTACATATGAGCTTCTTAGAAAATAAAGAATTTAATGTGAATTATCAAAACACATATTTCTATTTAGAATCCAAGTACTGATGCAAAATGATACATTTACCTTTCATTGTTTAGACTCTGAAAACTGGCTTGACAATGGTTGGGAAGGTGGTGACCCAGCTGACGGGCACGCTACCTTCAGGTGTGACGGAAGATGAAGTTGCCATCCATAGTAATTCAAGGCGGAGTCCTCTGGTCCCAGGCATCATCACAGTCATCGACACTGAAACAGTTGGAGAAGGCCAGGTAAGAGCCTGTAATGCCTGTGATGTTCGCTTTGTGCAGAGGATGGAGCAATTAAGAGTATCATTTGGGATCAAGATCATGCAAGATGTGTTTGGCCTTGGAGATGTGTTCATTCGGAATTGTAGAAAGTTAAGGTTATTTCAGGTTAGAATTTTTTTATTTTTTCAAAAAATGATGAGTAATTATTGTACAACACAGGGAATATAGCCAATATTTTATAATAATTATAAGTGGCATGCATGTGTGCTAAGCTGCTTCAGTCATTTCTGTGTCTTTGTGACCCTCTTAGCCCTCCAGTTTCCTTTGTCCATGGGATTCTCCAGGCAGGAATACTAGAGTGGGTTGCTGTTTTCTTCTCCAGGGGATCTTCCCAACACGGGACTCTAACCCACATCTCTTATGTCTCCTGCATTGGCAGGCAGATTCTTTACCACTGGCAGCATCGAGGAAGCCCCATAAATGGCATTGTTGTTGTTGTTCAGTCACTTAGTCGTGTCCTACTCTTTTCGACCCTGTGGACTGTAGCCCACCAGGTTCCTTTGTCCATGGGATTCTCCAGGCAAGAATACTGGAGTGGGTTGCCATTTCCTCCTCCAGGGGATCTTCTGGACCCAGGAATTGAACCCGTGTCTCCTGAATTAGCAGGCAGATTCTCTACTAGTGAGCCACTTGGTAAGCCCACTATAAATGGCATAGAATCTTTTGAAAAATGATGTTGCTATTTAGTCGTTAAGTTGTGTCTGACTCTTTTGTGACCCCATGGACTGCAGCCTGCCTGGCTCCTCTGTCTGTGGAATTTCCCAGGCAAGAATACTGGAGTGGGTTGCCATCTCCTTATCTTGGGGATCTTCCCAACCCAAGGATCAAACCTGCGTCTCCTGCTTGGGAGTCAGATTCTTTATCACTGAGCCACCTGGGAAGTAACGTGTTAAAACCTGTTATTTCAAACATTGTTAATGTATCAAACCTGAAGTTAAAATAGAGGTTCTATAGAATCCTCTTGTTATCTCTTCATCAGGACATTTGTTCCATAAATAAATAATTATATATATCTTTTATACCATTTAATAATGTCCCTTTTTTTTTAAAAAATGACATTTATTAAAAAATGACACTATAAGCTGAATCAGTCTAATTATAACTAATTACATTTCCCAGGTGGTGCTAGTGGTAAAGAACCCACCTGCCAGTGCAGGAGACACAAGAGATGTGGGTTCGATCCCTGAGTTGGGATGTTTTCTTGGAGGAGGGCATGGAACCCACTCCATTATTCTTGCCTGAAGAATTCCATGGACAGGGAAGCCTGGAGGGCTACAGTCCACAGTGTGGCAAAAAGTCAGACACAACTGAAGTGACTTGGCATGCATGCATGTGGTGGTTATAAATGACAATAATGTTAATGAATTTTATTGCAAATTTTATTACCAATACTTCGTGACAAATACAAAAAAAATACACAAAATCTCAAAGAGTATATTAGAATATGTAAGTGGTAATAACTTATTATATGTTCAGATGAAAAATAGAATATGTTCAGATAAAAAATAGATCTTATATGTTCATATAAAACAGATTTTTACAGTCTAGGTTTAGAAACATTTAAGACAGAGGATGAGATGGTTGGATGGCATTACCTACTCTATGGACATGGGTTTGAGTAAACTCTGGGAATTGGTGATGGACAGGGAGGCCTGGTGTGCTGCGATTCATGGGGTCGCAAAGAGTCGGACACGACTGAGTGACTAAACTGAACTGAACTGAAGAGTGATGATAAACATGGAAAAATATGCTATGCTTATGTAAGTCTTGCTAGAACTAAGCCAGTTTGGTTTTGTTTTTCTCCCCCATGCACTTATAAACACTATTTTCTTTTGAATCATAGTTATGGATTTTAAATTATATTTCTGAAAGGAAGGTATTTTTAATGGCTTGTGATCTTTGCTGTAAATACCCAATCTAAAATTGATTACCAGAATGAGATAGGAGTAGAGCAAGATTTGGAAGTACAAATTATTTTAAGTTATATTAAATTATTTATTTAAATATTAAATATAAACATAGAACTTATATTTAGTTCTGTTTTCAGAACATAATTATGTGAGCCATTAGAATATTAACCCTAAATATTGCATTCTTTTTTTAGAAAATCTGCTTCCAGTATATATGGTTCTGCATCTTGATGAGCGATTACATTTGGCTGGTACTCATATACTAATTCCTATAGTAAGATCAAGTGGCATTTAAAAAAAAAACAGACTGTGCTGCAGTGAAAAGAAAAAAATCTTTGAAATTCTGGCTTTTATTGAATCTGGCTATTATATTTTATTTGAAATCTGAATAATATACTTCTCTGCCTTTCCCATCTTAACTTTGTGGTTAACCAGATATGTTACAGGCTTGTATTCCTGTTTAAAACTCTATTTAATGAAGTGCTAGCAAACTTTTCAGTTGACTGTAATGACTTTTTTTTTCCAGTTGTGTTAATTAGCTCGAGTTGATAGACACATACAGATGTTCTCTTTTTAAACTGGAATTAAATAGTTAAACGCTTAGTGTTTTATGAGTGTTAACAAATATTTTCTTTTGTCCTTTGATTCTTAATTAATTCACCTCCAAGGCCACCCACATTTACTAAGTAGTAACAACCCTCCTCAATATTGTCTAGTTTGGCCGGTATGCCTAAGTCTGTTAAACATCTAGCATTTGTTGACAGACTGATGTGTGGTGATTTAAATGTTGAAACTGTTATCTCCTATTATTTTTGATGAAATAGAGCTATAACTCGTTAATTTAATAATGAGTAAAAAGAATTTAATTTATACAAAAAGCATAGCCTTAGGCCTTGTGTTTTCAAATGTGGTTTGTTATTTCCCCCTAGTTCTTTGTTAGCGCTTTATAACTTTAAATTGGAATTCTCACATTTGGAATATGGAAATGGACTGTAGATTATATGAAAGTATTTTTTCTGTGAGAAGTGCATTGTTAACATTGGAAACAACTGAAGTTGTTCATTAGGAAATAAGAATAGTAAAATGTTAGCTTTTAAAAGTTAAAAAATTGAAAGTGTTGCTCAACCTGAGAAATTTTATCTTTTCTATCATTTGTTGGGACCATAATCTCTTTCCATTCCTACTTATAACATATTCTGAAATTTTTATTGATTTCAAAATTCTGTTAAAAGACAGGAAATAAATGAGAAGTTCCTATGTACATTTTTAAGGAATCATAAGTATTTTTTCAAAGCAACAAGATTTCTTCAGTATAATACTGCCTTCTTTTATCGATATGAATCTGTTTTTTGTCAAGAAGACATTTTTGTCTCTGATAAATAGTTCAGTTGGAGTACAGCGCTGTTTTTAAGTTATGGCTGGATTGTGTTAAAAAGACTGCAGTGGTTAATGTCATGGATTTATCACTTTAAGTCCTTTCCCACTGATGTTTGACCTTAACTGTAGTGTTTTTTTCTTGTCCATCTCCATCTTAGGAACTAAAGCTGACATTATGTTCACTTTTGCTATTTAAATCCATTGAGACCTCACTAAAGATATTTTCATGTTTACAGGGATAGTATATAAAATTTGATTCACCATCTTTCTGATGCTGAATTGATTAGTATTATTTGATGGTGGCAGGATCACTGTATGGTGACTGCATTAAAGAGGAATAGATTTGGTTGACTGTCCATTTTGTCTGTGTTACTGCCATGTTTTATTTAAAAGCATAAGCAGTTTAATTTGCCTTTATAAATTTACATAATTTAAGTTAGCAGGTGGCAAAGTCTCTAATCAAAGAAAAATGCTCCAGAATGATGACATAAACTAGAGCTATTCTTGCCCTGAGTGTAAATACAAGTGTAATTCATAATAATTGAGTGGTTCCTGTGGTGTTTGTCTTTTTGTTCATATGATAAAGCCTTATCCACCTTGTATCAATTAAAGTGCTTTGCTTTAATAATATCAAATTGTTACTCACACACAGGATTTTAGCCTGTTTAGATAGTGAGTGAAAATAAAGTCTTAGGACAACTGATTTGGGATATCTTTGGTATTAATTTGATATTTTAGGCAAGGTGATGGTGCAGTGGAGAGAATCTGTAAAAAAGTATCTGGTTGTTGTTATATTTGTGAAGCTCATAAAAAGAAGATTCGAAGAAGTCTGTGTATTTTTAGGAGGTTTTGGTACTTACCATGATTAATGAGCCCTTTTGCTTGATGGCTTGTGTATTAGCACCATCAAATAGAGCACTCAATACTAACTGTATTGCAGAGAGAGGTACAGAGTTATAATACATGAAAGATAAGAGGCTCTGATAAGAGATTGGTTTGGCATAGAAAAATGGGCAAGGATAAAATATTTAACAGAAAAAAATATATACAACTGGTATAAAATCTAGTTTTTTTTTTAATCTATAGTTTTAACTTGTTATCAGAGAAAGACAAAACTGTACCAAGATACCACTTGTCCCCTTCAGTATGAGAGAAATTAAAAAGCTTGTGGTATACTCTACATTTTTAACTTTTAATTTTGAAGTAATTGTAGACCCACAGTAAGTTGCAGATATATCCATGTGCCCTTCACCCAGTTTCCTCCAAGTTTGCCCAGGATGTCTCTCTGTGACATCTTACATAGTGGTCATAAAAAGTTAGAGCCAGGATATTGACAATCACACCTTACTTGTAACTAGGCTTTTGACCATATTTAGCTCTCACCATTTGTTTTTACCTGCATTCATTTGTGTGTGTTCTCTGAATATTGAAAGAACTCCTACAGCTGGATAATAAAAAGATAAATAGCCTTATTTTAAAATGAGCAAAGGATTTGAATAGACATCTTTCTGGAAATAAATACACCAATGGCCAGTGAGCAGAAATGAGAGCCCTGGCACCCTGCTGGTGGGGATGTAAAACAGTGCAGCTGCTGTGGAAAAGAGTTACCATTTGATTGGGCAGCTGTCTGCTAGAGAACTGCTCTTAGGAGGTATATAACCAAGAAAAACGAAA